GGGTAGTTATTGATTTTTTTGCTGAAAATGCAAGTAAATTTGGGATATTTCTCGCAGTGTAGCCACGCCCACCTATCGTGAAACGGTCGACTGTTTCCGGATTTCCGACTCTCGCCGAAAGTGCGCCACCAAATGACAAAATGTGAGAGGAAGTCATACCCTGAGCCGTAATAACACTGGTCGTTCAGTATACTTTTAAACGATATACATTTTTCGGTCAGCGTTTTTTCTTGTCATTTTTTCTTTTTTTGAGAGAGAGAGAGTTTTTAGATGTTGTGATGTGGGCAGTTGCAGTGAAACGTATAGCCATAGTGTATGTATTCACACGTTTCTAATCGATCCAAAGGTGCGACATCACTTAACCTTAGATTCATTCAACTGTCCTCGTCCATAAAAAAAAACGACTAAGTTTAAAGAGAAACGCCGACAACGTAAACCTGGTTTCTGAATTGTTTGGTGATTGGTGTTGAATGTCGAATTTTTGTCGAAATGTTCTCTTTTATTTTAATTTTGAAAGTTTTACTCAGACGATCGATGAAATAAAACAGTGTAGTGACGTGCCTAGTAACCTGCTAAATAACGAGATAATTCCGACGTCAAATTCTATTTTGTTCAGCAACAGTGTACAAACGTGCGCCGGTGTCGGTGACGATCACGGTGACCAGCTACACCAGAACGGACATATTTCGCATCTAACTCAACCCCATGCAACAGAAATTGATACTATGTGTTCATTATGGTTCATTCTTCCTCGACGAACAAGTACATAAGTGACAATATAGTCAAAGACGAGGAAACTGCACAAGAAATTTGCCTTATTTACACGTATCGGCAATGCAAGCTGCCATGCAACTTCCCCTTCTGACGTCACAAGGGGAATTTCTGTATGCAAATGAGAAGCTAATGAGGAGCCTCGTTTTAAAATACACAAAAATAAAGTTGCCGTAGACTAAGTTTAAAACACATTTTTTCACTTAAAAAAAATAATTCATGCTTAGAAACATAAAAATTAATAATATTTATGTATCAATTGATAATTTTAGGCGTGAAAATAGCAGCCATTTCACAGGCACTTTAAACTCATCAAAAATCAGTGAAAATAAATTCCATACAAAACGCCAAAAAAGCCTTTTCAGCGAAAATTTATTCCAGCGAAAATAAAGTATTCCACAGTAATATAAACCCTGTGCTGTAAGGCAACTAAGACATCCAGAAGACACCATATAAGCAGCTATGGCCAAACAAAGTATACCTACATGTAGTGTTTATTAAATGCACGCAAAGGGCCACACATTAGAAATGCACTCGCATATAAGTTCACGCATGCTATTAGCCCTTCTGTAGGATGGGGACAATGAAAAATGTCAGGCCTGTTCTCTGTGTTTGTTGAAGAACCCAGGTATTTTAGATTATCGCAGAGAGCAGTAGATTTCTGCAGAATGGGTTTCTCCTGTCAGGCCTCATAACAATGGAGCTTTAAAATCTGTAACAACTAAAGAAAACTTACTTCGTCTTTTCTGACCTTTGAACTTCTTCATAGAGTTTCTTGGATATTTGATTTCAGTATTACCGAGCAATACATCTCCAACACTCTGCGTGCCTTTGAAATCTAATACATGTGACAGCTCTGTACAACACCAGTCATTGAAAACGTCCGCATGTTTATGTTTCATCGCTTCCAAATAATAAAATGGATTGCAAAAGATAGCACTGGACGAGGATGTGGCAGACATGATTCAAGAACTGCTGAGAAATACATGAAAAAATACAATTCTTTTATTACATGAGCAGTCATTGTAACATTATGTTGAAAATAAATCTGACAATGGACGACAGTAATCTACTTTTTACCAATATGATAAAAATGTTTATTTTCATGAATGTTGAAAAAGTATTTATATGTT